GGAAAGCTCATATCGACCTATCCCGCGCTCGTTCTTTCCCCCAAATACTTATAGAATCAATCGAAAAGCCTGGCTTCATACTGCATAACAACAATATCGTCAATCTAAACTATCTTTGCTCAATTATGCGAAATTATAAGTCAAATTTATTATATCAGTTGAGCAGCACTGTTTTTAAATGACAGACACATGGGCTTCAATGGTCTTTCAATATTATTTTCTAGATTTCACCTTTTAAGCCATACCTGCATGTTTTCCACAATAAAATGGCATTCTAGCTTTGTGCAAAGAATATAACAGGGGAAAGCATCTCCGACCCCATAAAGTATATACATATATTCTTAATCCGCATGACTGGAAAAATCGATACAGCCATGTCCATCCGTCTTACCGTCAGTCTGAATTTCGGAACCGGATGAGTCCTCTCCTTATTTCCAGAAAACACGAGTTTATATTTACTGCCCGTAATTCCACAGAATTCTGCACAAAACAATTTTTGCCCACGAAATTAATATATTATTGTCTTCTTTTATTTTAAATGTCATCCAATTTAAATTCGCGATTCAATTTCACTCCAGTATTACGCACAAAAACTATGGGCGCATGTAACTTAGCGCCCAGTATTTCACTATCTGGCTTGCTCTACTGCAGCATTCTCTATTGCATATATATGTATGTATAAATATGTATATCTATAGTAACGAAACATCAATAGTCAATATAGCTGAATATTACTAGTTATGTCATATGGCCCCGGAGCTAGATTTTTTCCAATAAAGGATTTGTTAAAATTGGTCAACTTTATCATCAAAGGAAACTGTTGATTATTTGGGCTGTGAAACAATACGCTAGACTACTATGAGTGACTGAAAACAGTTATACATATTGACATAGTGAGATATAAAAAGGTCGAGTTTCGGCCCACAGTTCATCACAGTAGCATAAAATATGAACAACGGAGAAAACAAATAAAGCGGACTAGCTGCCTGATTGCTGATGACGGTAACTTTTAATTAAATTTCGAACTGTGTGCTACAATTGTACATTTGCCTATACAAGTATATGCAGTACATAAAGCTTACATGTAGTATGTATATGTACGTAGAGAAGTGTGCGTTTTAGTATGTGGGCGTGCATGTCCTTACGTGAGTTCAGGATTTCAGAATTTCAGTGGAAATTCAAATTAAATTTCCGCACGCATTTACATTGAAATGAAAAACCGAATTTGTTTGGTTTGAGGTTTGTCCTGAAACTGTGGGTGCATTTGCCTGTCTACATGTGTGTTGTATGTTAAGAAGGAATGCAGCACAGGACGCTGTTAAGCTTATTAGGAGATGCGGCAGACCCAAAGTTGCCAATAAAATGTAATTTAATTAGCTTGAACTGAACCCTGGGATATTCCGATAAATTGCTGCCAACATGCAAGACGAATGTTCTAGGGAATGCGCTAAGAAGACATTTGCATATTTCTGCCAACCACTAGATATAATGATGACAGCAATTATGAATGACTGAAGGTCGTCGCAACCCGACAGACGAAGGCAATTCATCAGACTGACGTTCAAGCGCTACGAGTATTCTTGTCCACTTTAAAGAATGCTTCCTTAGCTTTCGCTTTCATATGGCGCCCTTCAATTATCTATAATGCGCTGTGTGTGTGTGTGTCTGTGTGAAGAGGTGTGAGTCTTGGGATGTGGCGTGTGGAACGTGGTCTTGTGCCTGGCCGTCGACATCTTATTGTTTTGTGGCGTCATAATTGGGGGAAGGTCGCATAAATTTGCATGCAAGCAAGTCGTTTACACAACATTGTGTGCTTACTTGCACTTTTTCACGCAGGCCTTCACAACAATCGGCGTTCTTGGACCTACCTGGGCTGCGGCCATGCGTGTAATGTGCTCTAAAATGAGCCACAACCTGTAGTTGTTTTTGTTGTAGTTGCTACTGTTGTTACACCTGTGCACACCCAAACAAAAAGTACACGTCATGACGGTCCCTAACTTCAACTTCCGCTCGAGTAACAATTGTGGGTCTACGTATTCGTATATTTGTGGGTGTCTGTGTATATTCAAAGGAAATCAATCATCCAGAAATAGATCAACTTGTCGGCGTCGTCATCATAGTCGTCGTCGTCTTTGTGTCCCAAACCTTGGTTATTTTTCGTGTTATTGTTGCTGTTGTGTAACAAAAAAAATGGTCAGAAAAAAGATTGCGAAAACAGGCATTGCCTTTCACTTAAGATTGTGGATTGTTCTCGATTAATCAGTGGGCCGTTGGACCCAAAAGACCTAAATTTAATGACATTTAATTCGTTGCATCCAATTTAGGGAATAGCATTTATTGAATTTAATGTCAAATTATTAGAAAAACTCCTTTTCCTTTTTTGTCTGCTGCAAGATAATCCATTAGTTTAGTGAAGAAAACATTTTCTTAACATTTAATATTATTCAAAATCAAATATAAGCTATGCTTACTATTTTCTATTTCTGTCTGGCCCACTGTACATTGGCCACCCATCTAATCACAAAGCAAACACTATACTTGGGTCTATCATGCTTTAGAGTGTAATTGGGAAAACGTCTGAGAGCTGAGTAAAGAAAGTTCTTGTTATACAGTATTGCTGCCTTAATCTTCTTGGCTGCTTTTGATGCTTTACGACTCACGTTTAAAAAGTAATATGGATTCTAGGTGTTTTATTATTGTAATACATTATTGCTGTAAATCATTTTGAAAACTAAATAGACAAAGTTGCGACGGAATTCAGTGCCTCAACTATATTTTACATTGATAGGGATATATTCGCATTTCTGGCTATTTCGTTAGGGTATTATGTGTAGAGTTTAAAATTTTTTTAATTCCTGTCCTTTAATTTATTCATCATTATAAAGGGTATATTAGTTTTGTGCGCGTGTACATGAAACACACAGAAGGAGATGTGGCAAGCCCCACAAAGTATATATATTCTTGATCGGAATGACAAGCCGAGTCGATATAGCCATATATAGTATGAGCGCAAGGATCTCAGAAAGTATAAGAGCTAGAATAACCAAACTAGCTTCGCTAATGTTAGAAATGGTAGCGGAAGCCTTAAAACCTTAGTAAGAAACTACATTCGTATATAATCCTATTTTATTTTATTCAAAGTTCAGCATTTAACCTTTACTTACAACCATTTTACTTGTAAATACCGCAACGTATTTTGAATAACTTGTCAGAGATTTCAAAGTGAATTTAAATCACAATTGCTAGGGGCAACACGGTTTAATGCCTTTTGGAACCAACTATTGTATGCTTGGCAACAAGGACTGTATCCTTGTATATAATTAGCTCACCAGTTATCTGGCCCCCCACGCAGCCAACAACTGCTTCTCACATTTTATGTTTTTTCCGCGCGCCTAGCGTGCAGCTCAGCACAACTTCTGTTAAGCTGTTTACACCAATTTACGTTGGCCAAACTTTTAATTCGCCTCCCACGGCCATGTTCATGTTTTTATTTTCGTAACACATTTACAACAACTACAATAAAAGAAAGGAGAGAACAAACTTCGGAGGAATACAAAAAAAAGTGCCATGAATTACGCACGAAGGCCAATCTGTTATTAATGTTGTTGTTGTTCTTGTTGTAGAGTGGGAACAGTCCAACTGGCTTGTTAATAAAACTACAGACATGTCTAAAGATAACGTGCGGGCCTCGAAAGGAATTTAAGTATCGGCACGTGAAGCCAATCAATACAGAATAAGGGACTCGAATACTCGATGACGCACTGTTGATTCACAAATGCTGAGGATTTAGATTTTCCCTCTTTATGGATTTGCCACAGCCATAGTGATTAATGGCAGTGGCAAATTTCTTGAATGAATGGATGACTGAGTATGCCGGCTGGCGTCAGGACAATGACGTCGTCACCAGCCAGGCCTGGCTCGGCATGCCCTGGCCTGATCGTCATCGTCGTTGACGACACCTGCGACCGATTTCGCGCTCTAGTGTGAGTGTGGTTGGGTGATGTGCGTGCGGATAGGCGCCCCTGTGGTTAGGGACGGGGGGCAGAACTTTTAGTCCGTTTATTATTATGATTGCTATTTTGGTTCTACATTGGTTGAGGTATTTGTTTTTAGCGTACCCCCGTCCCTGCGTCTGCCACGAATAAGAAAATGATTCAGCATGCGTTTGTCGCAAATTAATAATTGGGCACAATAGTTGCCTTTATTAATGGTCATTCGCCATTTAATTTGCAGAATATATTCTTCCATTAATACAGTTCAATCTCAACTTCGTTAATCGACTAAATCAACTAATTGAAGTCACTAAACATTCTGACTCATTATGAAGAAGGTTGCAAACACGTTTCATGGGTCGTTCACCAGCCAGGGCTTAAATTAATCACATATTTCAGTTCGCAATCGAAATATTTCACAGGAACGCTTCAATTTGTCAAAATTGCTTCCATTTTAAAATGATTATTTTTATGTCCATGCACTCGAAGAATAAACACTTGTAGAACTCTCAGGCAGGTGTGGTAATTAAACCCTTCCATGCATAGATATTTTTCCTTCTAGATATTCGTCTAATAGTCCGTGTAAATGCCAATAATAGGTTTTTCCGCATCTGCTTACCCTACAAATAAGGGATATGACTTACTTAATATAGGTCAGTTAGTTGGTACCTCTTTTAAAGCTTCGGAGTTTAACTCGAATTTAACCAGGAAATTATTCAACACTTGTGAAAAAAAGCTGGATACGTTTGTTTCCATTCGATTTATTTCAAAGCAACTTTAAACAAACTTAAATATTCTTTTAACTCAAGTAAGCAAATGGTACATCAACCGCTTGCAACTGCTCGTTCTATAATATAGATATGTGAGTATAATATATAGAGTCTATATATTGAATTTTTGCAAAGCAAAGGTAGCCTAACTAAGATACAGCTCTCACCTATTTCATATAGTGTAATATTAGGTTACATAGCTTCAATTGGTACTAATTGACATTCTTGTAATTAACAGGCTCAATTATATCGCATCGAAAATGTCTGATTCGGCCAAGTCAAACAACAATAGTGCGGATTGCGATGGCAACGATGGATCAACGACGCCGCGCAGCAATCACAACAACAACAAACTCAAATCAACGCACAATAGCAGCGGAGGCGGAAGCATAGACAAACTCTCACCTGATCAGGATATATTTATAAATGCAGCCGACGGTCTGCCCAGCCAGCATCCGACGTTGCCGCCCGAAGGAGATGTGGATAGCGAAACAGACCCGGAAGTGGATCCGGATTCGTTTGACGATTTGCCCACCTCAATTATTGTGACCAACATACACTCGGAGGTGTTCGCCAATCCGGAGCTGAAGCATGCAATGGAGGAGTTGTTCCGCACCTTCAGCGATTCGGCAACTTTCCAATGGTTGCGCAGCTTTCGACGCCTGCGGGTGAACTATGACAACGCAATTGCGGCGGCCAATGCGCGCATTAAACTACATCAATACGAGTTCAACAAGAAGACGGTGATCACCTGCTACTTTGCACAGCCCGTGACACCGGTCTCCAACAAGAATCTACAGCCACCGGCACCGGTCAAACAGTTCCTTATTTCGCCGCCAGCATCGCCACCGGCCGGTTGGGAGCCACGCGAAGAGGGGGAACCGTTAGTAAATCACGATCTGTTGGCTGCATTGGCGAGTCTGACACCCGGCGAGTCCCACGAACTCCATCCTCAGAGTGAAGATCAGCCAGCCATTATCGTGCACACGGCCATGCTGCCCGAAGGCAACGTCGGCCTGCAACCGAAGGCATCCATTGTTCAGACCAAGTGTCCAGAGCGGGTGTAAATCGACGACAAGAGAATGCTTCGGTTTTTTATAATTTAAATTGAAATAAAGTCGAGAGTGCATGGGCAGGCAATTATGGCACTAGAAGACGCTAAAAATGCCGCACACACGTTGAAGTATTTGTTGTAAATATTATTAAATTCGATTGTGATTAATTAACACGTAGCTATGTTTTGTATTTAAGTATGTGTGTACAATTAGTTTGCGTTTCGTTTTAGTCGTCGCTCGTTCGCTGAATCTGTGTAGCGTGTACCGTGTACCATGTAGCCGTCATCGTTGAGCATTTAAAATAGATTCTAAAACAAGAGCATGTATCAGAGTTTTTAATGACACTATCTATGTATTCGCTGCAGCTGTAACTCCAATCAAAAGCTAAAGCTGCGTTCAGACAGGCAAATAATTTGTACACAACTTATTTCATAATTACAAGCATGACATGACGTAAATGTTATTCCAGAAAAAACCAACCCAAAACGAACATTTTCTTTTATTATTGAAATATTTGGGATTTAATTTGAAAGGCTCGAAGACTGGTGTAATATGTAAAATGAATGTAAAATATTTGCCTGTTTGACCATAGCATAATTCATTTAGTGCTGTCTAATTATTAAATCTAGATGTGTTTTCCTTAATGCATACGACGTCCCTTCTTTGTGGGTATTTATGTATAGAAAAAAATCGAGAGCTACCAAAATATCTGTACCTTAGCTGAGCATCTTGAAGTTTGCCAGATCTTGGGCACCCACAAACAATGGGCGTAAACCAACATACGAAATCAAGATAAAAATTATAATATATATTGTATATGTAAATGTTACTCTAATTTTTAAGAAAATGAAAATATCTGTATCTGATATTCAAGTACGTATATACTTGTATGTATAGTTAAAATATATTCAAATTTAAAAGATATGTTCTCAAAATGTACCAAACACGGATAACTTTCATTTGTGTGTGAATTGGGCTCGAATATTTAAAGTCGTTAGAAAGTCAGGTACTTTATTGCGACATCCACGTGGGAGCCTGTGAAAGAAAGCAGAGGACCAAGGTGGACCAGGAGTGTTTCGAATGGACCATTATTTTCACAATTCTGCAATTTTGCTAACCTCCCGATTCTCGGATTGCCTCGGTAGACTGTTCCGTTTGCAATTGCTCTTAAGAAACCAGAGATCACAGCCAATCCCTAAAATGTAAAGATCGCGCACCCTAGCACAGAAATATGACAAGCCAACAGCTGACCATCACACGGATCTTTCTGCTTGTTAAAGCTGCAGTCTTATGGCAGTTTTATAAGTAGCTTCTGAAAATTGAATTTAAATTATAATTTGGTAGAGAATTCATATAGGATTTTTTTGAAATAACGAATTTATAGTACACTTCTTCAAACCGTACCGTAAAACATAAAACATTTGACAGGTAAGAAGCATATTCGAATTGAATTTTGTCTAAGAAATATTTAAAACCGTCAATAAGAAGTTGAAGGCCATTATGGTTAGCAAGCAAGAAAACTTTTGTCAAACATAACATTTGATGATTGACAAAATTCAGGTTAAATAGAACTGTTCACTTCTGGCTTTTTGCGCAGTTGTTTTAATTTTTAAATAATCAATATAAATGTGTATTTCGTTTTAACATGTCTTGCTTGTCATTCACTTTCTTGGGAAAATTTAAGAAAATACAGTCTGCAGAAAGAAAAGCAGACATCAAGAATGATAAAAGTTTGATATATAAGTATATCTGACCTCGTTTTAAAGTCATTCATGCAAATAACTAACTTTATTCACTTTATAGAACTTAATTAAAATGTCTTCGGCTTATAACTAACGTAATTTCGTGTGTGTGTGAGAATGTTCGAAAAATGCTTAAGAACGATGTAAAAACAAACTGTGCGGGCAGGCAGCACTTTTAACCTTTGGCTTCACTTTCTTTCGATATTCTTGAGCGGCACCATCTGTTCCGGATCCTCTGGATAAATACTGCTTTGCCTCTGTTTCCGGCCGGCACACTGACTGAACCAGGTGTCGCCCTTGCCAAAGTTTTCGCCATCCTCAATGGACTCGGGCATTGGTTGGTTCATGGTTTCGGGCAGGAACATCACCCAAAATCCAGAAGCTAACGCCACTACACCAAACAGGACAGCTGGTATCTTGGGATCAAAGGAATCGAGCAGCGTTATGAGAGGCGTTAGGGCGCCCGAAAGACGAGCGCACATCGAGCCCAGACCCATAGCCGAATTGCGAACGACAGTGGGAAATAGCTCAGCCGAGTAATTGTAGATGACAGCAAAGGATCCTGCAATCAGTAGTTTACCCAACATCACTACACTCGTCGACGTCGTGGTGCCCTGTGCTATATAGGCGGCTATAATGCAGCATAGTCCGCCTCCGATCATCAGTGTACTTGTAATCGAACGACGTCCTAAACGGTCCAGTACAAATATAATTGTTATGTAGCTGGGGAACTCCACCAGACCCATGATAAAGAGAATAAGGTAAGGATTTCCGTACAGTTTGCCGGCGCTCAAGGACAAACCATAATACACAATGGAGTTGGCGAACCAGCAGAGGCAAACGTTTAGGGTCTTCATGCGTAGATTGGGCGTACGGAAGAGATCGCTTAGGCCGGCACTACTCTTCTCCTCGACCGCGGATTGTTGCTTCGCCTTCTGCACGAAATAGTCCTTGTCCACAGGTATGCCAGAGCCATTGATGCGCAATCCCTTGGCCACAATGTCTACAGCTTCGGCGGCACGGCCTTGCATCCAGAGCCAACGTGGAGACTCATCCAACAGCCACCAATGCGCAATAAACAGAAGACCGTGCAGGCCATAGACAACTTGAAGCCATTGGCGATCCTTGATGAGGGCACCCCAACCGGCAACAAGCATAATGCCACCGGCAAAGACAGCCTGCAAGGAGGAGATTATATGTTAAGTTGTTTCAACTGTGCTTCAAATAAATTGTAATTTGTAAGCAGTAAGCTTGCCTGGAAGGTGATGCCGCAGACTGTGCGCTTGCTTGGACCCACCAGCTCCATGGTCAGCACGAAACCGCATATATATGCGCCTGCAGAGCCCACAATGCCGAGCAGAAATCGGGCTACCATGAACGAGAAATACTCTGGGATGAAGGCCACGCCCACTCCAAGGATCAGCTGCAAAAGGGCAGACCAGCAGAAGACTGCTTTGCGACCTACTTTATCGGCCAGGCCACCCAGGGTGACTGCGCCCGTAAACACTCCCAGCATGAACACTGTCTGCACAATCGATCCCATCCAGCGACGATCGCAAACGAAGTTCCAGTCGATCGTGCGCGAGGTCTTGTAGTAGGTGGTGTCATAGACATATCTCTGGCACGGCACGGTGCTGTTGGGTTCCCCGTTCAGGTCGTACATCTGGCACGAGTCCAGCTGTCCATTCTCCTTCAGTGGAATGGCAGCCAGGATGGCACTCGAGTTCCATGGGACCCGAGAATATATGCTTTCATCTACACCCTCGATAAAGCAACGATGCTCCGGTACTGGCGATACCCCGGCCAGCGACAGCATGTGCAGACCAGCTGTGAGGGCGGAGAGTACTTGGAGGAAAAACTGGAAAAATTGGTATTTGCCGAACTCGCCTGAAAGTATGCAACAAAATATCCAGAGCTCAGTATAACTAATCGTACGAGGCAAGCCTGCGATAAGAGGCAACTGATTGTGGTAGGCCTCTTAAATCTGTGATAAGAACGTGACTATTAAAAGAATTTTAATCGTTTTAATCTCAACAAACAGAATAATTTCGTTAAAAACAAATACGTACGTTCGTTTTTAGTCAAGAATTTAGTCAATATAATAAAGAACGTATCAGTTGTTTGCGGAAGTTCATTTATACAAAAACAAAAACATTTTAATTAATTTTCAACTAAATTTGAGCTATTGCAGTCATCCCGGGATTGTACTGTTTGTTTGTACTGCCTTTTTTCATTGTTTGTTGAAGGTAGCGATTGTGTGGAGCCACAGCTCTATATTCTAAATTAAACTGAAAAAATACAATTTACACTTTTTTCATGGAAGGCGTTCCAATAAGCCATGAATTCGCTATCAAGTTCTGCCCGAAAGAATATAATCACATAATTTCTCTCCAGATAGATCATAAAAAAATTTGAAAAATATTTTTAAAGTGGAAGCTGCTTTGCCTTAGCTGGTTGAGGAAGGTCAGGAGCTTTAGCATTTATACTGAGCCGCATTTATGCCAATTGGTATCGATATCATAATTTCGTAGTATATGTTTGATAGTGCATGCTACACCGGGAAGGAGGCGTAAATATATATATCAGTATAAACATCAGTATGACGAAAAAAGTCAATATAGTCATGTCCGTCTACCTGTAGGAACGCCAGAGCTCCCACGCTATATGAATGATTTTTTGTAACTCTCGTAAGCGCGTAAACTCATAAACAGTATTACGTATAGTGGGTTTTCTTATTTCAAGGTACGATTTTAATTCAATAAACCTTTCTAAAATTGTTTGAAAATATTTTATAATTGTGGGAGTCACTGCTAGGAGAATGGTTGGAAGTCAGTAGTAAAAGTTGTAACCTGAATTGGAAATATGACTTCGTTTGAAGTATCTATGTGCGATCGAATCAACAGCAACAGTACGTGGAATATAAAACGTAGCACGGATATGTAATTTGCCACATTTATAGCAATAAAATGATGACTTAGAACTATTGTCTAAGACCGCAAGCCATTTGCACTTACCATATAGGCGGCTTGATTGGCTTATGACACAGTTGGATGGCGCTACAACCATTCCAGTGGGTATACCTAGTAGAGATTCAAACGACCACCGCTGTAATTGACGTCACTTTAATGACTTTGGCGCGTATTGCAATTAAATCAAGTGGAATTTATTCAATTCGATTTCAATTGAATCGCATGCAAAATGCTTCGTACAATTTTTGTCAACAGTTTCTCCGCTTTGCTATACATTTTTGTATTCTGTATATTGTATATTGTATATTTGTGTTCTTATGGCCTTTCTGTCGTATGTTTGGCTGAATTGAATTGATTATAACAGAGCTTCTCAATTTTTGCATAGGCAATGGGCAGTACATGGGCCGTGTGATCGGTTTGGAATGAAAGCGCTCCGATACTGGAACGGTGTTGGGCTGAGTTGTGTTTTGAGGGAACGGTTTGTGTAAATTTTCTATGACAATACATATAGCCTAGATATCTGACACATGAACATTGAACCACTTGCTAGTTTTTCAATTGGTTTGTGAGCACATAACTGTAAATAAAATTGATTTGTGCAACTCGCTCGAAACGAGTAAGATTGCAAAATATGTGGAACATTTCGTTTTAAATTATGGTAGGCCGGGGCAGTTTTGAAGCCGACCTTCACACATGACTGCATGGTTTGAGAATTTTGTATTTTTCTATTTACGAGCGCCCTATTCTTGACACCGATCGGCTAAGCATTAGCTATTACGTTCAATTCCAGTTCCATGTGTGACATAATATTCCATCTTTTACAGAATGTCACACAATTTTTTAATTAATAACAACTTGACATTGCCACAATCTTTAATTAAATTCAATCATCACCCAAAAACACGCCTAATAGTACATAATCGGCGCGAAATTGTTCGCACATGTACATGCCTACATACAGACATATAGTAAGTTGTACATGTGTCCTATATACACTACAATTGTGTGTATTATGAATGATCGATAAGCGGCCAAAACACTAACTACTATACAACATCAGTGCCGAATTTACAGCCAACCAGTTGCAAATCATAGCCGATTATCAGCAACGATAATACGTACTAGAGCATTTTTTGTTATTTTTGTTTAATTTGATTTGCTTTGACGCCCATTTTTTGTTGTTTGTTGCCAAGCGGCAAGGCCTTTAACAAATATAACTCATACGCAATGTGTGCTCGACTAACCAAATAGTGAAACTTGTTTTTCTTTGTGTGTGCCAACTAAAAACCTAAGATTAACAAAAAATTTATACTATGTACAGCGATTGAATGGAGTTCTACACAATGCATTCTGAAGGTCGTTGCTGGGAGCTACTTTTGAGTTTTGACTCTATAATTACACACGTCGAGCGTTTTCAAAGTCAAAATTAAGAAAAACCCATGGAAGAGAAGTAGAAAAGCTTGAACTATGAGCGCTCAGACTTTAGCTTATATTCAGTTATTGCATGATTTATAATATCAGCTATATGTAGGGAAACCAAGGAGAACAAATGCATCCACGTAGAGTTGGGACACACGAAAACTTACTCTCCAACTGATCATTTCTTTATTTGTAATATGAATTAAATTGTAATATGAAATACGGCTTCACTAAACTATTTTCTAATTTCTTTACTTTTCTTTATTTCCCTACAATTTGAGATTTTGCCAATATAGAAGCATTAATGGCTTTGATTTTTATCTTAATCTTTATCTTATCTTTTATCACTATAACTATCTTCTAATTATTTTATTTTCTTTTTTATTTCTCTGCAATTTGACATTTCGCCTAAATAGAAGCAGTAATTGCTTTGATTTTTATGTTAAAGAAGAAAGCAAAAAATATGTGATAAAATAAGAATATTTGGGGAACATACAAAATCAGCACCTAACTAAAAAGTAAGCCAATATAGGCGTGTGTGTGGCTTTTACTTTATTTGTAAATATGTTTTATGCTCTGCCTCCTTTCAAGGCATTGAAACCCACATACATAGTTCGTATGTAATTACATCTAGGCTCTGCATCCATCAAATCGGATGTGAGGCAGCCAACAAGAAGAAAAAAATCATAACAAAATATAAATAAGTCGAAAGAAACCAGTTTTGGAATTTTGCATTTCTCGCCGGCTTACTTATCATACATACATATGTATGTATATATACGCATGTGATATATATTTTTATATCGCGTCAAGAAAAAGTTAGTAATGCGTTCATTACTCTTACCGGTTGCGGCAGTTGTGGCAATACTTGCTAGAGTGTGTGTGTGTGTGTGTCAACAATAAACTAGTTTTGGCCAGAGAATATTTTCTATAGAATTTAAGGAGAGGAGTTTCAGATTGGCACTAATTTGATGGGCAAAAGCAATTTATTTGTTTGGATTGAATTTTCAAACTACAATTAAGGTCGTCAAAACATCGAAATCGATAAATAGAAAGCAATGAAAATAAATTCAGAAGGCGGGCCCCCAAAATAGACATGTGAAAGATAACGAAAAAGTCATAGCATGAATCATTCGAAATCTAGTTTAAAGCTCCCAAATTTGCAAACTATAGATGGTATAGGAGTATTGTTTCAAAACTCGCTGAAGACAAGATTATACATTTGTAAAGGCTGGTTAATGGAGTTAACTCTAATAACTCAATGGTTTGAGGGCTAAATTTTTCATAGTTCACTTATTTATTTTGCATACGAAAAAGTAAAAAAACATTAAGTTTTATATGGCAAACTTTGTAGTCAGTAATTTCTGCTTATTGTTAACAATCAATGACAAATATTTTGAAAGTAATTTTATTTTATAAAATTGATAATTATCTGAACTATTTCTAGTAGCTTAATTGAAGGTATACATTATTCTTTACTATTGAAATCAGTTGTGTTTTGTTTCTCAGACGGACTCTTTTCTTCTTGCTTATCAGAAGATGTTTGTTAATTATTTTCCGATTTAATGACTCTATAAATATCACTTTTAGAAATTTCGTATAGTGGCGGATATAAAACTCCGACCTAATCACGATTACCATAGCTGCGATAACAATTTGAAAGCTTACGAGAAGAAGAGAACAGCGATTAAAATAGGCAGACGAGCAAATTAATCGCCAGACAGAAAGACCTTAGCCTTCCTATTCAGTGGACATGGTTACTTATTAATAGATAACACCTATATTTTTCATATCTTTACAGAAATAGGTGTTTCCTCATTTAAACACTTCAAGTTTCTCAGGCAAATAATTCCAGAAAGCAACACCTAAGTATGTCTTTCTAGCTAATTCATTTTCAAATAATGGGAAGCAGCAAAGCTGAGCTAAAACAGACTAATTATTTACGGGAGAATAAATCCCACGATTAACAAAGCTTAACACTCTAACTGCTTTTTAAACAGACTGAGAGTGCATTGAAAACGTTGCTGGGGTGGTTCTGGATGACTTCAGCTTATCTGTTCGCATTTCAGAGAAAATGTGAAAACGTGCTCTTTGTTGAAAATAAAGAAAATATTTAATAATCACAGTCTTATGACAAATCTGGTAGTGTGTGAAGAGCTAAAGATAGCAAACTAGACTGGAATCTGCAGTTAGTGATTGGTGCTAAGCAGTTGCTAATTGCGACAGACCGGGTTGCTGTCAAGTGTGCTAACCTTGAGACTTAATAAACATAAGTAAATAATTAAAATTGTATTACTGGCCGATTGTCTGTCAATGGGAGGCAATACTGGACAGATCGGACAGTGCTGTGCTGTTATACTTTCTAGATTAGAAACCCCGCCATTCGATGCCATAAATCCCGGCAAAATCTGAAAAACACACCTATTACATATTATTTGATAAGCAGAGCACACAAATTAGGAAATGATAAGGGAAACAACGAAAATAAAATGACGACACATAAGCGCTGAAATTCGCATTGTGTTGCAGTTGGCTCGCACTGCATCCCATGGCTGATAAGCCTGCAAGATTATAGATAACGTTGTAAGCCAAAAAATACAAAGTTAAACATGCAGATAAGAACTGCGGCGCTAACAACCAGTCTAACGTGGGGTTATCACACGCACTTCAGAACCAGCAGTTGGCAATGAGTGCTGTATAAATAAGAGACTGCAGCGATCCACAACAAACAGATATATACATACATACTTAGTTGTATTAAAACTCACCCAATTTGCTCATTAGCTCCTCCAAGACATAATCCACAGCCATGTTGCTTCAGCTTTTAATAAACAAGTCAACCCACTCAAAAATCGAACAACAAAAATGGCGCGTATCTCAGAAGTCTTTTTTGTTGTCACTCCCACAATGTCTTCTTTCCCAAGGTACGCGTATCTCACGTGCAACAAAGTAGCATTTTTCACAGATCACATATAGTTTTATACAAAAATGTGAGTGGTTCGCGTTTTATCAGTCGTCAGAAATGTGATCTGAACTACAAATAATACGAATACGTAGCGAGCGCCGCCAACATTTGAAGTGAACTGAGCACGCTGGCGAAAAAGTGGTCGGAGCATGCGAATCGAATGGCTCTGCTTGAATAACACTCACACATGCTCCAACGACACCACACACACACACACACTCACACAGATACCACACATACACACACGTGCACTCTCACAACACACATGGCTGGTGGAATCACTAGCGCATGGAACGTGAGTGTTCTGAGTTGATTCGTTTGTGTTGGCAGCTGAGGCATCACGAGGCTATTTGTATGTTCATATCTGGGGAATACGACAATTCTCAACAGGTACAACTCATGCGTCATGCGTACGGATCTGACGGTTCACGTCAAACCCATTAACAAAATCAAAGCAGGCCGGTTCACATCTGCACAGAATTCAACATATGTATTAATTTCACTTTCACATTTCAAAACACAATAACTATACATTTATCTTTAAAACATATTTAGAAATTGCCTTTGGATCTTTTAGCAATAATGCCTAAATTCGGAGCATCGGCCATATCGGAGTCCATCTCCTTTTCTTTTCTGGAATTTTTGGCCAGCGTAGTGTTACGTGAGACGCAGGAGCTGGAAACTGATTTCCATACTCATGTGACGAGCTTACGTGAGAAATTACAAGACCTCCGAGAGAATGAGCAGAATGTAAGCTTACGTTCTATAATTCGAAAAAGTTCCGAATCAAAAGGACTTTAAATACCTGTTTCAAACCTAATCCCTGGAGTTCCCTTAAAGGAATAATTGTAGAATCTTTTTTTTAGATAAAAAGAAACATTATTACTCTTAGAATTGCAATATTTGGTCGACTTATTCATTGTTCTATCTACTCTTGATATGAGATATTGATATTTAAATTTTAAACAGAAATCGGCTTTACATTGAGATCTCGATATAGGTCCTAATATTTCTCTACCAATATGCTTTATATTTAAATTTGAAAATTGTCGGTTCACAAATTTAAGTGAACTCCGGTTTACGATATAAGCATTATTTACCGTCAATATGAATAATTAATCAACTTTCATCAAATAGTTTTTATTAAAAAATAAAAAAAACAACACTATAGGTGCAGATCATAATGTTCAGGTAAAATGGAACTGGTCACATATCACATACAAATACTACTTTAAACACTTATTGATGTGCAACTAAGACAAATATCATCCTTCAGTTAATTGAAATTGATGGATTTACCGAACTGCTCAAGAACTGTGTGATGACTGTGCCCCTAGAATTAAATCAGAACGAGTGTGACATTCTCGGTATTGAGAGACCGCTCAGACAAATCGAACAATTTTATACGATGTTCAGCGGAGAGGAACGCAATATAATCACTTGCAGTAACTATATGGATCTCTTAAAGTTACTCCTCTCCGTTAACTCTTCGATGGAACAGTGCAATAGCGAAAAGACTGAGTTGGAGGAATATAAAAAGGAAAGCTTCAAGCACACAACTTCTCAAAATCTAGTAAGTTAATTAAAAGTCAATGCTTGGTAATACATTGGTGTTGAGATTTGCTCATCCTAAAAAATTAGGAAATATTTCTGGTAGCTAAACATAATTTGAAAATTTATTTAGCCCGCACAGATTTTAAGCATTATGGAATGTCATGCCAAAGCTTTGGAGAGAATGGGACAGCAAATCACTGAACTCCAGGAACAAAGTAATAAAATTACCAAAAGTTTTGAGCATATAGCTCATAATATGGGAGTGCCTAGTGCCACCTCTCAATTATGCTGCGAAATGGCCAAGGAAGTGGAAGATGCCTTTGAGGATTTATAAATTTTATTTTGGATGTTTTAACATAATATTTCTTTTCCAACAGTGATGCTTAATTAATGGAAACCGTACATAATGCCAATGTATATGTTACACATGTAAATGCAATTAAAATTACAGTTGATAACTGATTCACTTTTAGTTGAACTTTTGTGCTTAAGGTTAGGTTTTTAGTCTTACAAATGACTAATCTGTTCAGTTGTTGGCATCGCGGAAAAACAGAACATCATCAGCTATGATGCTCGTGCTGCTCTTTTGGTTGCCCTGTTGATCAGTTATTTCGCCATAAGTGATCTTGCCCTGCACCATAGTGCGTTGCCCCTTCTTTAGATATTCCAGCACAGTGTCGCGCAAATTTGGCTTAAAAACTACCACACGATGCCAGTCGGTGCGCTGAGCCCAGTCGCCGTTCTCATATCTGCGAGAGGAAGACGTCATTGAGATAGGAATATAGATAATTAGCACTGCCCATTTGGACTGAGCTTACTTGTAGTTGGTGTGTGTGGCCACGGAGAATGTGACCACTGGATGCTCCTGCGAGCCACGCAATTGCGGATCGGCGCCCACGCGGCCAAGTATAGTTACATTGTTGACAGCTATAAGCGGATAATAAGTACTCTAATTGCATAATATTGTTTGTGATTTACGCACTTTTTTCAATTTTGGCGGGCGCCGGCGCCGTTGTGCTGCTTGTTGCTGTTGCCGCACCGCGTGCCGGCAGGTTACGGAGACCCCTGAGTAGCGGTTGCAGCTGTGGGTGTGTATATTTAAACATTATGATTCGTAAATAGTAAACTGCAAGCTCTTTAATATTTATACATACCAAGTATTTGCTTTGTTGCATCATATTCACTGTGTGATAAATTTTACAAGAAGCACGCAATTTCAATTCAATTCGTATATGCTTCTTCTTAAGCGCCTAACAGCTGTTTACAGTGCTGCCAAGTGTCTTTGGGTTTGTCATTTACACGACGCTGCACTGTATTGAGTTATTAGCATTACAACTTAAAGTTGATTAACGTGACATTTACATTCATGCTTCTTAATGGCTTAAAATGTGTTTACTTAAAATATGAATTAATGAATTTTGCTTATTTAGAGTTGGACTTAAAAATGCGCTCTGCATTCGATTGAAAGCTGTCTGATGTGGAACTGCAGGCTGAGTTTCAGTTTACGGCCACTGCAGCGCTCGCGAAACGCTATCTAGCGCTTAAATTTGTAACTAACAGTATACAAGTTTTTAGCCGTTATAAACATATTGGGGAATATACAATTTTATTTAAAGTTGTGTTGCAAGCGTAGGTAATTAATTTAATGTAATTTGTATGCTTCACATAATCTGTGGAAACTGTAGTGGAAATTAAAATATACATCAGACAAAGTTGATAGTATGATAGAAAGTTCATACTTTGCTCAAATTTTCTGGTTATTAGAAATTACAATTAGAACCATTTCCTCTACACTATATCTAATACACATAGTATATCTACACAATTGATAAATATTATAATTTGTTCAGAATTGCTGCATTAAACGAACCCAACGCTCAGTTAAGCAGGATTTGCGATCGAACATAGTTGGATCATTTGCTCCCTGGCCATTGCAACGCCATTTTGTTTATTGGACTTAAATGCGACTTTATGCTTTTGTGGCTTGAGAGCGATCACATAGTCAAGAAAATACAAATTTTATTAGTGCTCATAAGACGGCGTTATAAAATTGTGCTGCGGAAAAAATGCGTACCGTCCGCAGTCGTAGACCACTAGAGTTAGCTCTGGCGGCGAACCTGAAACAGAACGGAAGAAGAAAATCACCATTTTTATACTACTATTTTCTTAGCTCTTGTCTATCTGTGTTGCAGCAGCAATGGCTGTGGCTGCGGCTGTTGTTGTTGCTGCTGCTGCTGCTTCTTCGACTTTGCAGCCGATGACGACAGCCGACAGTCGGCCGTGTCGCTGTCGCTGTCGTTGCCGGTGCTCAAGAACATTGCCAGCAACTGAGTCTCGAAGCTATTTTCAGTATGCGCTACAACGAAATTTATGGTGTATATGGATGATCAATTGGCATTTTACAACATTGTTATGAGCAGTATGTGGACTTCTATAATTAGCAATTGGTAACTGATGTTTGTTTGCCTAAAGCTGGAGCGCCAGGATGTTAAAAGTAGATATTTGTCTAGGATGTTTTAGGAAGAACAATGGTATATGTTTGTTGAGGTCGGACTATATTGTGCTTTTTTTTTCTGTTGCGTTGCTCCACAATTTACAGAATAGGTCAGTGTTTAGTACTTCGACTATGACTGCCCATCAATTACATCCCAATTTAATTCTGTAGCGCTCTCCACATCCACTGTGGCTCAATCTCCATTATTCTAGCGCTGCTGGTTGGCGTTGTTTCCAGCTCGCGCGTGTAGAGTTGAGTGTGTATCTGTGTGTGGGTCGTTTTGACTCTGTATGCGTATCTATCTAAGTATGTACTATATGTATGTATGGATGTAGTATATCTGTTGTTGCTGTGGCCGTTGCTGTTGCTGCTGCTGTGGCTCTGTTCGTTGTTGCGATACTAACGAAGCTAAATGCGAACGTCGAACGTACCGAGCAAACGTCCCAAATGTCGACGTTGTCGTTTTTGTTGTTGTTGCTTTTTGTATATTTCAGTAGGTATGGGCGAAGTGAGGTGGTTTGAGGTGGAGGCCGGTGCTGGTGGTGGTCGTGGTGGTGGTGTTGCTGCTGCTGCTACTACTAGAGTGGCTAGCTGGGCTTGTCGAGGACGTTTGTGCGTTTGCGTGCCAAACCAACGGCAAAACTCATATTCATTTCAAAGTGAAACTCAACGCAGCTTAAGCTTAATGTACAGCACATTCCGGTAACTTGGATGCTATTGTTGTTGTTGCTGCTGCTACTGCTGTTGTTGGATTTGGTTATTCTCTCTTTAATTTGTATAATTTTTTGTGGTATTGCGCGATTGCGCGAAGGTTTTTGAAAAATACACACTGCAGCTTCGAATTGTTTAACAGAAATCGACAAATAATATTGGAATTGCTAAGGACAGTTCAGACAGTTTAGGAGATAAGACCAATTGCTTTTCAAATTGCATCTAATGGACCCAAATTTGTATTTTTCAAATATAATTGCATAGCCATAGAGCCATCTACCAATCAGAAATAGCTCCTGAAATCCAAAAAACTGGCCCATAGACAAAAACGCAGTGCAGCTGACCAAAAATCTGACTGCGCATATTTTGCTGAATTTAACAGAGCAGCAGCAACAGAGACTGAACACAACTGCCAGGCAGTCGCAGCCGTCCTCATGTTCGCATTAAAGTTTATTTCGAAACCAACTCAGAAAATAAAAGAGCCCAACAACAGCAATGGCGACAACAACGAGCACGAGCACAAATGAAAAACGCCAACGAACAACGAGCCAGAGCCAGAGCCGGAGCCAACGAGCACACAGCCATCGCAGAAAGCAGCACAAAATACGAAATACGAAAAAAATATAAAAAAAATAAGAGGAAAAAATCAAGTAAAATTACGACAAGCAAAGGCAAAGGCAGCAACGACGTCGAGTCGAAAGAAAACAAGAAACTCCGCCACAGCACAGCACAGCACAGCAGAGGCAGTGGCAACGTAAATGGAAGAGGCAAAGGCGCAGGAGAGGAGAGGAGAGGAGAGGAGAAGAGAGGAGCAGCAAATAGCATTGGGTGGTGTGGCATTCTGGGCCAAGCAAGGGGGCGGGCGCAGGCAGTCGGCAGGGACGGCAACAACACAAAGTGAGCGACTGTTTGTATATCTCCGTCTGTATGTATGATGTGTGTGCCTGTGTGTGTGTGTGTGTGTGTGTGCGGTGGGGCGAAGGTGAAGCATGCTATGGCGTTGGTATAACGTCAGCCCAACGCACAGTGGTTACCAGACAAATGGCTCATGGGCCACAACAACCGAATTATATTACAGCCTATTTCCAACGGCCGATCTCCATTGTTGCATATGTATTGGCCGTTGATAATTATAATATTGATATTATTGTAAAAATATCAAATTTCCTGAAATGTTATTTCATCTTCTTAGAGCATATTTGATTATTATTTATTATTGTAGAATGGGATGGTGAAGACAAATATGATTTATTTATAGTATAGTTGATTTTTCGAAATGAAAGTCTGTTTTTCATCTTATTTAATATTAAGAAATTGACCAATTTAAATCATTTTTCTAAAACGTTGCATTACCTTTTTGAGATTTTCTCATTTTCGATTTTAATGAAAGTTTCTTTTTGTTTCCAAATGGAATTCCAAATGTACCCCCAAAATTCATTCTAGCAAATTGAAAGATACAAACTACGAGGTATGTAATTTTACTTGGAGGACTATAATGTTCCTCTACGCATTATAAGAGATAATTTGGAGCCACTGTGCAGGCCACAAGCAAGTCGACTGACGATGAAAAAACCCAACGAACCTACAGCAACAACAACATTAGCCAGCAAAATTTTATAATAAAAACAACAACAAGAACCTTGAAGGCAACGGGAACGCCAAGAGTTGACGATGACGATGATGATGACGACGACGACGACGACGACGATGGCAAAGGCAACGACGATACTTGCACCAGCAACGGCAACGGCGAAGGCAACGACAACGATTGCCACGCCACGCCACGCCATGCCTTGCCAACCAACCAGTCAACTATCCAACAAGAACAACAACATCTACAACAAAAGCTACAACAACAACAGCAGTAGCAGGCAGAGGCAGAAGCAGACGAACGCAGCTAAATGAAAGAGCGAACGTGGTACGTAGTACTGAGCTGAGTCTGAAGCTGAAGCTGAACGTACTACCAACGAGGACCGAACATTAAAGTTGAACTAAAGTTGGAATTTGTGCTGAGCGCTGGCTCTGGCCCCTGCACAGCGCCCGTCCGCTCCCCGCATCTTCGCTTTTTGTAATCAGAATAAACGAAAATTCGCTTAAGCGTGGCACAGTGGTGCCAAAACATATTGCAGTGGGTTACGACTGATTACGTATAGGTATTGGCCCAATATTGTGGGATATTCAAATGTGCTTGTTTCATTAATAACACATACGAATATAATAACAAATGCTTCTGAGACTTTTTAGTAGAAGTTGCTTTGAAGTTGCAGAGATGAGGAGGAGGAGGAAAGTGTCGTACATCACCTCTGTTTCTGTCCAGCGCCTAGTAGGCGTATGCTCTCTGCCCTGGGAAGACCATATCTGATTGATCTCTCAGAGCTGAAAAAGACTGAACTTGGGAATATAGTCAAATTCATTATAAGTACTGCTTGGCTGAAGCAATGCAGTGGAAATTATGTGGTTTCACAATGGGTCTTTTAGGGCCTAAGTGTGAGGTGATCACCGTCACCTCGGCCATTACAACCTAAATCTATATTTTGAAGTGGGAAATCTTTGAGCACAACAGAACACGAACAAAATATTTTTATTAGTATCTAAAGTGAAAAAAATGACTTCATTATTGATAATGCACGTATATATTTAAGAATCATATTTTTAAAGAGTATAACAATACCAGTCCACTAGGCTATTGCTGTCCATCCATCTATTCGTATGAACCAGCGATTTAAAAACCCGAATCAGTCAATCGTTTTTGCATTTTGATTTCGCATTATTTGTCCGAATTCGGAAATGAGCTTCGCCGAAATGAATTCAACCGAATTTACTAAATTGAAGAAACAAAAATATAACAAGCAATGTCATATATGCATTATCTGTTATATTATATTGTTTTTCCTTTTCGATTTTAGCAGACACGTTTTGTAAGATTCTCGACGATATTCTAGATTTCCAATTTGTGTAGTTTTTGGTTGCAAAGATCCTACTGAGACAATGTAGTTGAAGAGCTTTCGGATTCTTCACTGGCAAGAGGCTTATCTTAAATCTAAATGCTTCC